GGAGGGGGATTTTGGGGGTTTTTTTGTTTGTTTGTTTTTTAAAGACAGGGTTTCACCATGTTGGTCAGGCTGGTCTTGAACTCCCAACCTCAGGTGATCCTCCCACCATGGCCTCCAGAGTGCTTGGATTACAGGCGTGACCAGCCACGCCTGGCCTTCTTTTGAGACGAGTTTAGCTCTTGTTGCCCAGGCTGGAGTGCAATGGTGTGATCTTGACTCACTGCAACCTCTGTCTCCTAGGTTCAAGTGATTCTTCTGCCTCAGCCTTCCGAGTAGCTGGGATTACAGTTGCCCACCATCACATCCGGCTAATTCTTTATATTTTTAGAAGAGACGGGATTTTACTGTATTGTCCAGGCTGGTCTTGAGCTTCTTATCTCAGGTGATCCACCTGCCTTGGCCTCCCAAAGTACTGGGATTACAGGCGTGAGCCACTGTGCCTGGCCACCACTGATGTACTTTCTATGCATTATAGTTCTGCCTTTTCCATAATGTGACATAAACAGAATCCTATGGTATGTAGTCTTTGGGCTGTGACCTCTTTGACTGAGCTTAACTTTTTTGAGATTAATTCATGTTGTGGTATCAATCAGTAGTTCATTCCTTTTTTAGCTGAGTGATATTCCATTGTATGGATGTACCACAGTTTGACTATTCACCAGGTAGAGAACATTTTGATTATTTTTTGCAATTATAACTAAAGCCACCATAAACATTTATGTATTTTTGTATGAACATAAGCTTTTATAGTCTCTAGGGTGTGTAATTGTTGAGTACATCGTAATAGTAAGTGTATTTAACATTTTGAGGAACTGCCAAACTTCCATAGTGGCCACACTTCTTTACAATCTTAACAGCAATGCGTGAGAGTTCCAATTTCTCCACATCCTGGCCAGCAAGCATTATTGTTACTGTTATTTTAGCTTTTTGGGGGTGTTAAATTTTGTCTCATTGTGGTTTTTATTTGCAATTCCTTAATGACTAACCATGTAGAATATCTTTTCATGTGCTTCTCAGCTATTTGTGTATCTTGTTTGAAGAGACAGATGTTCATTCAGATCATCTTCCCAGTTTTTTAAAATTAAGTTATCTTTTTTGTTGTTAAATTCTAAGAGTTCCTGGCCTGGAGCAGTGGCTTAGGCAGTTAATCACTAACTTTCGAGGCTGGGGTGGGCAGATTCCTTGCACCCAGGACTTTGAGACCAGCCTGGGCAACATGACAGAACCCTGTATCTACTAAAAAAATTTTCAGGCATGGCCGGGTGTGGTGGCTCACTCCCATAATCCCAGCACTTTGGGAGGCCGAGGCAGGCAGATCACGAGGTCGAGAGATCGAGACCATCCTGGCCAACATGGTGAAACGCTGTCTCTACTAAAAATACAAAAATTAGCCGGGCAAGGTTGCATGTGCCTGTAATCCCAGCTACTCAGGAGGCTGAGGCGGAAGAATTGCTTGAACCCAGGAGGCGGAAGTTACAGTGAGCAGAGATGCCACCACTGCACACTGCAGCCTGGCAACAGAGCAAGACTCTGTCTCAAAAAATAATAATATATAAATAAAATAAAAAATAGCTGGTTTTCGCCAGGCACGATGGCTCACGCCTGTAATCCCAGCACTTTGGGAGGCCGAGGTGGGCGTATCACGAGGTCAAGAGATCGAGACCATCCTGGCCAGAATGGTAAAATCCTGTCTCTAAAAAAAATAAATAAATAAAAATAATAAAAAATAGCTGTTTTTTGGAATTTTCAGCAAAAAATAAAATGTTTAGGCATGATGGTGCACACGTGTCCCAGCTACTGGGAGACTGAGAAGTGGAAGGATCGCGTCAGCCCAGGAGGTCGAGGCTATAGTGAGCCATGATCATGCCACTGTACTCCAGCCTGGGTGACAGAGTGAGACCCTATCTCAGGGAAAAAAAAAAAAAAAATCCTGGGCGAAGTGGCTCCCGCCTATAATCTCAGCACTTTGGGAGGCTGAGGCATGTGGATCACCTGAGGTCTGCAGTTCCAAGACCAGCCTGACCAACATGGAGAAAACCATCTCTACTAAAAATACAAAATCAGCTGGACGTGGTGGTGCATGCATGTAATCCCAGCTACTCAGGAGGCTGAGGCAGGAGAAAGGCTTGAACCCAGGAGGCAGAGGTTGTGGTGAACCAAGATTGCACCATTGCACTCCAGCCTGGGAGATAAGAGTTTTGTCTCAAAAAAAAAAAAAAAAATGGTTGTTGCATCACAAGATTAACGCGAAGGAAAAAAAAAGAGATCTCAATATATGCTAGATATAAGTCCCTTATCAGATACTTGATTTGTAAATATCTTCTCCCATTTTGTGGATTGTCTTCTTGCTTTCTTGATGGAATTCTTTTGAATTTTGTGAAACGTAATTTCTCTATTTTTTTCCCATGTCCCTTTGATATATCACATCTAAGAAACCATTGCACAATTTACCATGGCCGTGAAAATTTACTCCTCTATTTTCTTATAGTTTAGTATTTTAGCTCTTAGATTTAGCCCTCTGATACACTTTGAATTAATTTTTGTACATGGCATTAAGGCAGGGGTGCGGCTTAATTCTTTGGCATGTGGAAAACCCATCACCATTTGTTGAAATGATTTTCCTTCCCCATCAAGTGGTCTTGCAATTGACTGTAAATGTAAGGCTTTGTTTGTGGACTTCATTTATTCCACTGATCTGAATTTCTGACCTTATGCCAGGACCATGCTGTCTTTATTACTGTAGCTTTGTAGCTTTGTGTAGTAAGCTTTGAAATCAGGGAGTATGAATTCTCCCAACCTTTTATTCTTTTTGAAGAAGATTGTTTTCACTATTTTGGGTTGTTTGGATCCCCATCTGATTTTTTGTTTTTTTCTTTTCAAGGCGGAGTCTTGCTCTGTCGCCCAGGCTGGAGTGCAGTGGCGCCATCTCAGCTCACTGCAATATCCGCCTCCCAGCTTCACACAGTTATCCTGCCTTAGCTATCCTGCCTTAGCCTCCCAAGTAGCTGGGATTACAGGTACATGCCACCATGCTTGGCTAATTTTTTTTGCCTTTTTACCAGTTGTCAAATGATCCTTAATTCAAATATTTTCCTTTGTGCTTCTTAACTAGCTGGGCATTCCACAGCACCACTGTTGGTGTCATCAATGATGTCATGAGGGTGGCGGCCATCAACATATAGCTCATAGACTGGTCAGTCCCCAGGATCTCTTTAATGGTTCCAGAGAGTTCTCTGGCTAAAGATCAGTGCCGCCATCTGTCAAGCAGTGTTGACAATCTCATCAAAAGTGATATTCCCACTGTATTTAATGTTTTTCTGTTTCTTTCTCTTGGTGGTTTCTTAAGGGTTTTGATGGTCAGGGCAAAGGCAGAAGGCACCACCTCAGTCTGGGCCTATGTGTTCTGAATGGTCAGCTTCACTGTAATTCTCAGGCCCTTCCAGTCACCTGGCAATGCCAATCACCTTGGCAGGGTCATCAACCTTTTTTGGAGCTAGACCCAGAGGGCCGATCTTGGGGGCCAGCGCAGAAGTGGCACCGACTTCACCCCCCGTGCTCCTCAGGTATACCACTTTGACCTCGTTGGAATCGACTTTGACGGCATGGTGGAGGCGGCTGGTGTCGGATGAACACAGATTTGGGACGACCAAAGAAAGTTGCACCTTGGCCACCTCTGAGTCGAAAGCTGAAAGCATCTTTTTTTTTTTCCACCCCCCAACCCCTGGCTGATTTTTATATTTTTAGTAGAGACAGGGTTTCACCATGTTGGCCAGGTTGGTCTCCAACTCCTGACCTCAAATGATTTGCTTGCCTCTGCCCCCCAAAGTGCTGGGATTACAGGTGTGAGCCACTGTGCCTGGCCCTTGTTCTCCATATATTTTAAAGCTCTGTAGTGGACCTTGATAAGCAGGAAGATGTTACCTCTGGATAAACAAAATGAGAATCTGCTGGTCGTGGCCAGGGCGTGAGGAGCCGGGTGCCCTCGGACACAGCTCTTGGGAGTTGGGATGGGTGCAGCCTTTCAGGAGGACATTTTGGCAACACATATCAAAACTAGCAACCTAGCATTGCTATATTTAGAAATTTGCCTTAAGGAATTATTTGGACACCTGTGTCTTTGTCAAGACATGTGATTACGGTGTTGAACAGCTTAAATATCCCTCAGTAGCTTATAGAACAGAACGAGTAATAGTTGATGGTATTTAGGTTTAAAATTATACCCGTTTAAATTGTGCACTTTTAAAAATGTCTAGAAGGATGTGCACCAAATTGGGAAGGTTGGAGGTAGTGTTCTGTAGGGAGGCTTTCTCTTTCTCTCGTCTGTGCTCTAGTTTGCTCGATGAGCACACGCCATTGTGTTCAGGAGTAGGAGCAGAGCACGCTTCTCTTGGGAAGTGGTAGAATAAAGTGATCTGCTCACTAGGATGGGTGACTTAGAGGAGCTGATGACTGTATCAATTAAAATTTGCCCTCTGGATGCCCCATCCTGGCCGAAAAGGGCTGAGGTCTGTGTGGGTTGTGAAGACTTTTTCTGCACTCACACTTTAATTTCAGGCCTCAGATTTCCCATGCCTTCTGCATGTTAACACAGGCCTGCTCCCTGACATTTGTCTGGGAATAGCATATAGAACCCACTGCCCATTATGGGTAAGACGAGAATTGCGGGAATGTGACCAGGGCGCTGGAACATCTGATATTTGTAGGACCTTATTTTTAGGAAGCACAGATACAGGCTTTCCTTTAACTTAAAAAGGTAAAAATAAAAGTACTGTGAAAGAACTTTTGCTTGCCAGAGTTCAAAGGTCTTTTCCAACCACTTACAACCCCTGGATCAGATTCATTTTCACACCTAGATGCCATCATTAACACTGCTATCTGAATCGGTCCCTCCTCCTAGAAGATGTTTTCATTCAGGAGAGCCTACTACTGAATTTCTCCGGAAGTCACAGTCACAGTTCTTTTCCCAGTGCTCAGTTTTGCTTGTCTTCCTTCTCTTTTAGGTACTGCTTCTCTGAGATGGCCCCAGTGTGTGCAGTGGTTGGAGGAATTTTGGCACAGGAAATTGTGAAGGTAAAACATCACTGTGGAGCAGAAAATAGTTAACCATGACTTTGTATGTGTGCAGACAAAGAGAACCGAGACTGATAGACAGCTGCCTGCTTTCTCTCACGCCGTTCCTCTTTGTTTCGTCCCCTACTCATTTCCACCTCATCCCATTCTCTCTGACCTATCCAGGTGGCCATTCAGCAAATGACTTTGGAGTGCCTGCTCTGTGCTCAGCTCACAGCTGGCCATAGTGCCTCAAAGGTAGATCTGCTTTCCCCTAACTGTATTAGTTACCTCTAGTGCCTGTTGTATTGGTCAGGGATTCTGCTTCTCACAGTTCTATAAGTGAATATTATCATGATCTCCATTTAAGAGGAAGATAGGCTGGGCGCGGTGGCTCACGCCTGTAGTCCCAGCACTTTGGGAGGCCGAGGCGGGTGGATCACAAGGTCAAGAGATCGAGACCACCTTGGTCAACATGGTGAAACCTCGTCTCTACTAAAAATACAAAAAATTAGCTGGGCATGGTGGCGCGTGCCTGTAATCCCAGCTACTCAGGAGGCTGAGGCAGGAGAATTGCCTGAATCCAGGAGGCGGAGGTTGCGGTGAGCCAAGATCGCGCCATTGCACTCCAGCCTGGGTAACAAGGGTGAAACTCCGTCTCAA